TAAACGATCGAGCCTAGTCGTTCAGGGAGACGAGCGTACTAGGCGAACTATAAGGGGCAAAGGTACAATGGGCGCAGTAGCGACAGGGCCTAACCCCATCCCAGTCTCCCCATATTGGAGCAAGAAGTTGCCTGATAGAGAGGAGAAGGAGAATGCCGAGGGTCCGGACTTAGGAGAGAACCAGCAACCCTTGGCAATACAGTCTCACGCCGGGACAACGTTGCTAACTGAGGAAGGACATACGAGTAAAAGGGACCACCGCAGCGAGCTACACAGCGATGCGGGGATGCGTGAGACGATAGGACACGCGGCACTGTCACCGGAGGTGGCAACTGCGCGCGACCCGCCGGCAGTCCCACTGCCAGATGGGGCTGGGTGCCGACGGGATGCTTTCGTTGGCAACACATTTACGAGAGGTCGTATTAGTCAGTCCCGAGACTGCCCTCAGAGTAGGGTGGCGGGACGGTCCGAAGGGGACCTCGCGCAAGACACAAGCGTCGTGCTGCCACAGTGGTGGCAAAGTCTCTTTCTAAAGGAAGACGCCGGTAAAGGGTTGGCGATTAGTCGGGTACGAGCCATTGCGGAGCCATCAGCAAAGGGCCCAAGTGGAGGGGCGCAACAGAGGCCCCCTGCAAAGCAGACGTGTGGGACATTGGACGAGAAGCTGCAGCGCGAACGCCAGCCTCTCCACGAAGGGAGGGGGAAGAAGTGCCCGTGCACTCGCACGCGCACTATTACCACAGTCGGTGTCAAGTTGTACAAGAGTAGAGCTCATAGACATGTAGTTAGAACCACATCAGGCCCACTACACAAAAGGCGGTCCACTAGGAGGGTAGGTACAAGAGTAAAGGAAAAGAAAGGAAGAAAGAGAAGGAAACGATAGGATACGCAGTTCAGGAACAAACGAGAGGAAACCTGCTTAGCAATTGCATAACACGACAAGCATCAGAGCTTAAAGGGAACTGAAGGAGCATCATAACCCGTTTAAGGAATAGAACCCTGCGTAATCAGAAAACACTATCGTCGTACGCCCCAGAAGAGTGGGAGAAAAATGAATTAGCTGCACACAATCGCACACATCAGCTCTGCATCGCAT